TATGGGCACAGGTTTGAGTCCTGGCTGGTCCACATCTGATCAAGCTTCCTGCTAATGCGCCTGGAAAAGCAGCAGAAGATGGCCCAAGTGCTTGGGCCCCTGTGCCTACAGGGTGACCCAGAAGAAAATTCTGGCTCCTGGCTTCTGCTTGGCACAGCCCCAACTATTGCAGCCATTTGTGGAGGAAACCAGCAAGTGAAAGATCTCTCTCTCTCCTCACCCTCCTCTCTGAAACTCTGCCTTTCAAATAAAAGACAAATAAATAAATCTAAAAAAAAAAAAAAAATCTCAATGTAAGTACCTTTGTTTCTGATTCTCCCAGGCTGGACTGGGTAGTATTTTGATGTGAGCTCTTGAAACTATGTCCTGGTCACCTCCCTTATCATAGCTATGTAATTATCTCTTTACTTGTCTGCCTCCTTTCTCAGACACCCCAAGTAGAAGGGAGGAGGACAGCATCATAAAATGCAGACTCAGAATCAGACTTCTTGGGTTTGAATCCTGCTGTCCTATTTTATTCACTTTTAACTTAATCTTTATTATTTGAGGCAGGCAGACAGAGAGAGCTCCCATCTGCTGGTTTACTCTCAAATGTCTTCAATGGTCAGGACTAGGCCAGGACCAAATCTGGGAGTCAGGAACTCAAACCAGTTCCCCACTTGACTGGCTGGAACCCAGTTACTTGAACTATCACTGCTGCCTCCCAGAGACTGCATTAGCAGGAATCTGGAGTCAGGAGCTGGATCCAGGAATCAAACTTGGGCACTCCAATGTGGGACACAGGCATCTTAAGTGCTAAGCTACATGTTTGTTCCTGTTCTTCCATTGTATACCTATGAGAACAACTGGCGATGCACTTAATTTCTGTGCTCCAGCTCCCTCACCTGTACCTCAACTACAAAGCTGCTGTGAAGACTGAGTTAATATGCTCAATGTTCAGAATTGTGTCTGCCTGTGGAAAGTGGAAGACAAGGATTTACTGTCATTTGCATGACTAATAATCTTTGTACTTTGTGCAATGCCTGGCACCTAACCAAAGTTCAATGAATGAACAGCTCCTTTTTTGAACAAAGTGTTTTGAAGATATACTTTTGTAAAATGTATGCATTCTAAAAATATGATCCCATTTTAATCCAAGACTTTCTACCTATACTCACAAAATGAAGGAAAATGCCATAGAAACTGATTTCAAATGACTTGAACAATAATTGCAGTCATCCATAACACAGCCACTCATCAGGGTTTGGGTGCAACTGTTAACAAAGATTTATCATAAAAGCAACCTCACACATTAATTTTAATTTCCTAAATGGTAAAAGCACTAGCCCCCTTGTTGAACTAATGGCCTGTAGAATCTCATATTTAATGCATTCTGAAAACATTGGCAGGGTTATCTATGGCAAGATTTTTTCAAGTTTTGCTTCTATATCCTCTTACAACGAAAAGATTCTAAGACTTTCAAGACTGAATGATCTTTAAGAACTTACTTCAAGGCCAGTGGGATAGCATGAAAGAACTTTTGTTATCTTTGTTCCTATTATAACCAAATACCCTTACCTGCATGTCTTATTTCCAAAAACTAAGACAAATCCAGAAATGTTGCCAGTGAATTGCATGAGATCTTAAAAGAAATGAATGACTAAAGGGATAAAAGAGAGAAGGGGAAGTAAATAAGAAAGGGGGGCTTGTGGGAATGAGGAAGTGAGGAAGTGAGGAGGTGATGCAACTTGCAGAGGTGTCGTTGGAGGGACACACATCTCTGATGGGACATGCAGGGGCTCTACTTTCTCACTGCCTGTCCCCCACAAACCCACACGCCTGGGGTGCCATCCACTATGAAGAGCTGCATAGACCATGTCAATGTTTGGGCTGCACTAAATCTGACCTGATAGACTCTGGACCTGGAACTCAGTATTTCCTTTTTTTCACAGCTCTGGCAGACTGAGGAATATTCATCCCCCACACTTTAATGAATTCTAGGAGGTGAGGAATAACCTACAGGCAGGCTTGGGCCCTCTGGAAGCCACCTACTCCCTTCTCAGGCCTCCCAGCATCATCTCTCTAACTGCCTCGCTCCTTTCTTTCTACCCATAAAGCCAGGAAGATTAGAAGCAACTGACTCAGAATAACAATGTGTTGTATATTTATGCAGCCCCTTTCTTTCAAGGAAACCATGTGCCCATTCAAATATCTCTTCCATGATCTCAGTGCCCTTCTGGGAGGGGGTGGCCAGGTTAACAATAACTCTCTACTTAGTCAAATGGTTGCAAGCCTGTGGAAGGGCTTAACAATATTTGCAATGGTCAGGTGATGTTGTAAGCAGAACTCATGAACCTACTAGACAAATAAACCTCAGAGTATGTAATAAAACAAGATAACAGTGTTGCCTCCAAACACAGTATCAGAGGTTTCTTGAAAGCCTTTAGGAAGTACATTAAAAGCGAATTAAAATATATATATATATATATATATATATATATATATATATATATATATGAAAGTGAAGAGAAGAAAGAAGAGGCATCACTGGGATTTTCTGGCAAAACCTTCCTAAGAGACAAAAAATGTAGGCTTTTCTTCACCACTGCTGGCTTCTGTCACTGATACATATTTGTTTGTTTTGATCAGGGAATAAGATCTTGTTTTTCATTCTGGAAAACACACTGTGGCCAGCTTTCTCAATATCAAGAATGACCTGGTACCAGGAGGAGTTTAGAGGGGCCAGGACTCAGAACCCACACTCTCCGACCTGCCATACATCATGCCAATTCTCCATCTTAAGTCTCATTTGCTTTGCTATTTTTTAGATTTGTTGACTCTCCCAGACTAAAAGCAGGTTATTCAAATTATGTGTGTGAATGTGTGAATGAAAATAAGAAGGTTGCTACTACAGTTCTGTTTGAAATTATTAGTATTTTATTTAGTGCTTCAAAAAAGATCATGGGGAAGGCAAAGTCAAGTGCCTGCAGCAGCTACATTTTCCTGGATTTGGTTTTGACTGTGTTCCATTAGGTCCCACCCTCCTCATCCTGCACAGGATGGCACTGATTGTCCTCAGGGACAACAAGGATGAGCAGCAGCAACACACACATCCTTTCTATGTCCTCACAAGTCCCATAGACTGGCACATGCATCTGGCCACATCTTTTCAGCAATGGCTTGCTTCCAGTTGGCCAGCAGGCAGCGAGATGAGGAATGGCTGCCTGTGCCCCAGCCAGTGAAAGTCACTGCTCCCACTGCAGTTGCAGAACTATTTAGAAGCCACACTTCAGATTTTCATGGTAGGACTTCTCACTCCTCTCTGCCATGTTTTCTGTTTACCTGGGATATACATTTACGTAAAATGATACTAAATTGACAGTTCAGTGGAAAAACTAGCCACACTCCTTCAGAAACACTGTACAGCTTCTCTCTTCCTACTAATACACTGGAGAATAGGATCTACTTACAAACTTACATTAGTGAATCCTTTCAACAGTTGGGTGAGATTGACATTATTTTCCAGGAAACTAGGGTTTAGAAAGGAATGTATGAGGACTTTTCAAAAGTTCATAGGAAATGCATGTTATTTTAAAAAATGTAAAGATTTCAAAGATATTTGCCCTAAAAATGTTTATTTTAATACTAGTCTCCATGAACTTTTGGAAGTACTCATAAATGTCACCATGTGAAAATATAAATAATGCCAGAGTCTGGAACTGAATTTATTCTGGAGCATTTCACATCTGGTGAGAAGCCCTTACCCCCCAGAACAGTATAATAATTTATAATAATTTCATAAATGCATTTAAAATCATAGGATACAATTTGCATGGGAATTGATACATAATGAAGGAAAACAGAATCAGGAAGCCTGTGATTTGAGTGGAAAAATGAGACAAAGTAACTAAGAACCAAGTAGAACTCACACAAACAGCAAACACATGTTTGTGGCCTGGGCGATCAAGTCAGGGTCTGAAATAAAATATGAAGATTGGGACAGGCTGCACAATGATAATCAGGAGCCTATGGAAGATGATACAAGAGGGACTCAGGTGCCTGGAAGACTTATTGCTCAGTTATAAGAGGAAACTTGCATGCAGTAATGGAGTGATGACTGGTACACATGGAATTCCTTTAATATGAGAGTTTCAGTTCTTCTTAGAAGAAGAAAGACAATAGAAAGAAAAGGGAACTAATAAGGAAAACATAATGATGAACAGAACTGATTCATAAAGAGGTGAAAAAACAAAATTCATAGGGGAAAAACATTAACATTTAAAAATGACTGGCCAAAGGGGTGCAGGTGTTGGTTAAGTTAGTCTCAGGTAGAAACCCTGTGGCTGCTATTAACCTGAGTTCATTTACTAGCAGGGGTCTCAGCTTCTTTCCATGTCCATTTACAGTCCTCGATTTGTGACAGCAGAGTACGTATAGTCATGGAGGCATTGCCAAGTGTCCAGATAATTTTATCTCCCTCATGTCAGATATTATACAACATCCCCTTATATTTGCCTGAATTGTAATTAGGATTTCACATTGCCCATGCACAAATTTATAAAAGAAGAAACCTGGACTTAAGACAAGCTCATGAAATGAAAATACTCTAAGGGACCCTACTTTTGGTATAAGGTGTAAAACTGTACTTTCAAGAGACAAAATAAAAAATGGAATAAATAAATAAATACATCTGGTTGTCTTCTTTCGTTAAATGCAGCACATTTTAAGATAAAGGGCAGATGTATAATGAGATTATTAACACAAAGAGCATAAAATTTCAAGTCATGATAATGGCTAATTAATTTTACTTAGTGATTTTCAGCAGGTAACAGGGCATACGCATATATTTCATGGGGAATTTTCCCAAAATGGCAGTAGGAATGTGACATATATACATAATTGCATTTTATTTCCTTCTCTCATTTTGAGGGTAAAGAAGAAGTTTTCGATTCTTAAACATTTGATGAGAAGTGCTCTCTTGAAAAAAATGTTAAAATGAAGAAAATAACCAATTAACTTGCCTTGCTGAATAAAATCGACACCATGAAGAAATCCAGTAAGAAACTCTCTGAGATATCTTTGTAATCACAGTGGAAAAAGATGACAGTGAAGCTCAAGTTAACAAACTGGTGAACTGGGTTGCAGAAAGAAGTCCGCAACAGTTTCATGCCAGCCATGATCATCAGAAAAATGTCCCAGCTGTTGGAAAGCAAAGAAAAACAGCAATCAATGACAGCATGCCAACTACAGAGGAGTTACAAAAGCCAACATTTCTTGGGCATTGATTGTGCATCACACATTTTCCAGGCAGAAAAATCAATATGGTGAGCCCTGTGATTGTCTGCATTTTACAGAGGAGAAAACGCCATCTCACAGAGTTTGAGCAACTTGACTAAGGCCTCGCAGGGGCTGAGCCAGGATGGAAACTCAGTCCTAAGCGATGCTCAAACACTTAAACTCTGTCACTACTGACATTTCTTTCCCTCATGTGCTTTCCTAATTCTTGTTCGTAGCAAGGACACAGAGCTCCTTTGGTGCTTATCTGAAGTAACCACTGCAACAACAAGGCAGGTTCTGGGGAAGGCTTGATTCCCGGTAAGAAACAGACCATGTGCTGCCTTTGCTGGAGTCTGCTCAACATATGGCTTTTCAACATCAAAAATGTAACCGTAACTGATATTAAGTTCTGAACAGAGATAACTGCAGTATCTTAATTAAGCCATCTCTATTTTTACATATTAACTTCCAATGTTTTTCAGCGTATCTGTCATCCCAGTGAATGTTAAGTTTACTGGTCTCCCTTTTTTCACTCATAATTACATCATAATTTTTCCCCTTCTATTATGCCCTAGGAGCTCACCAAAGCAGAGATGGGCCAAGAAACAGACCAGAATTTTCTTTTGAGAACAGAACTCCTACATGTTTTTGTTTAGGGAGTCCTATTTTTTTTTTTTTTTTTTTTTGACAGGCAGAGTGGACAGAGAGAGAGACAGAGAGAAAGGTCTTCCTTTGCCATTGGTTCACCCTCCAATGGCCGCCACGGCCGGCACGCTGTGGCCAGCACATCGCGCTGATCCGAAGGCAGGAGCCAGGTACTTCTCCTGGTCTCCCATGGGGTGCAGGGACCAAGGACTTGGGCCATCCTCCACTGCACTCCCTGGCCACAGCAGAGAGCTGGCCTGGAAGAGGGGCAACCGGGACAGAATCCGGTGCCCCGACCGGGACTAGAACCTGGGGTGCTGGCGCTGCTAGGTGGAGGATTAGCCTATTGAGCCATGGCGCCGGCCTCTAATTCAGATTAATACTAATTTAACTTCAAGATTTCATAAAATCTTGGCTCCAATTCAAATCCATACCTTCTCATTCCTTTGTTTTTTTATAAAAATTATATTAACATTTAAATCCTTCAAAAATAGTTTTGTACTTCTTGCTTTATGCAGTTGTATTTGAAAACAAATATAAGGATAAAGAAGTTATATACAAAATACACTGTTTTTTTTAAAAGATTATTTATTTATTTGAAGGCAGAGTTACAGAGAGGCAGAGGCAGAGAGAGAGTCTTCTATCCACTGGTTCACTCCCCAAATGGCCGCAACAGCCAGAGCTGGGCTAATCTGAAGCCAGGAGCCAGGAGCTTCCTCCAGATCTCCCACGTGGGTGCAGGTGCCCAAGGACTTAGGCCATTTTCTACTGCTTTCCCAGGCCACAGCAGAGAGCTGGGTGGGAAGTGGAGCAGCCAGGACTTGAATCAGCGCCCATACGGGTGGCTGACACTGCAGGCAGCAGCTTTTACCCACTACACCACTGCTCCGGCCCCTATTGTTTATTTATCTATGTTGCTACCTTTCCGGTGGTTTTTATTTCTCTGTGTTGATTTGAATTATTATATAGTGTTCTTTCTTTTTATATTTCTGTAAGACAGATCACTGGACTTGAGATGGAGGCAGTGTAGGAAGTTCCTGTTAAATCGTCAGAGACCATCACTGTCTTACTTAGGACCACAAGGAGGAGGAGTAGCCTAGTGAGCCGCAGCGCCGGTCAAGTCCTATATTTTAATCAGCATAGGGAGATGTGTTTTATGTATAATTTCACTTTGATAAAGCTGACTAGGAATAATGTATCTTTAAATTGGCAGAGAGATGACAAAAACAATACAGCATAACAGAGCAAGCAACTACCTTTCGGAAGGGCCTCTCTGAGAAAAAACTTTGAACATTTTAACTCTCCAGTTATAACACACTATTGGGGAACGCAAAGACAGTGAGGAAACTTCTAGAGAATGGTTGCATTTGGAGTTTTCTTTCTTTGGCTAAGTACAGAACCCTGGGGACATGCCTCAATTTCCCTAAGCCTAGAAGAATCCTAGATCTGACCCTAAACCCTTAACAATACCTTATCCCAGGATGAAGGCATTTAAGAAGTTCTTTTAAAGTCTTTGCTCCTATCAAATACAAAATTGTCATTTTTGTCATCAACAAGATGAAATGTTGGCAATTCCATATGCCTGACTCTCATATGCATTCAGGTTTTGATGGTTTCCACTCTGCCTCAGCATGTGCGAGGTGAGGCTTGCCCAAGGCCCCGCATGTCAGGCTTGGACTTGGCTTCTGAGAAAAATTAGCCCTTGACTACATTCTGATTTGGGAAGAGCAGAAAAGTTTTTCTGGAACCTCAACACAGATCCTTCAGTATTCTTACAGCAAAGTTGGATATTGTCCAAAGCTTGCCCTCCTTGTCCAGTGGACAACGAATGCCCCTGATGAAAATACAGGATGAAAACATGACTGTGGATCAAGTCGCCTTTGACCACACCTCAGGGTACAAAAATGTCAGAGCCCTATGGAGGAGCCCCAGTGATGCGGTATCCCCAGCTTAGGTACATTTTGGTTTTCAAGAGAAATCAGTAGCCGGCGCCGCAGCTCACTAGGCTAATCCTCCGCCTTGCGGCGCCGGCACACCGGGTTCTAGTCCCGGTCGGGGTGCCAGATTCTGTCCTGGTTGCCCCTCTTCCAGGCCAGCCCTCTGCTGTGGCCTGGAAGGCAGTGGAGGATGGCCCAAGTGCTTGGGCCCTGTACCCCATGGGAGACCAGGAGAAGCACCTGGCTCCTGCTATCAGATCAGCGTGGTGCGCCGGCCGCAGCGCGCTGGCTGTGGTGGCCATTGGAGGGTGAACCAACGGCAAAGGAAGACCTTTCTCTCTGTCTCTCTCTTTCACTGTCCACTCTGCTTGTCTAACCAATCAAGAAGAAGATGAGTAAAAATATAAAATGGAGAGAGAGAGAGAAATCAGTTAACCAGTCAAGATGCAGATGAGTCCAATCTAACTTTCTAACTTTCTGGGGCAGTAATTTGGTGCAGCAGTTAAGATTCTGTTTGAGTCATTCACATCCCACAAGGGAATGCTTGCTTTGGAGTCCAGGCTCTGCTTATGGTTCTGCATTCCTGCTAATGTGTACCTTGGGAGGGAGCAGGTTGATAAATTAAGTAGTAGAGCCCTACCACTCACATGGGAGACCCAGATGGAGTTTCAGGCTCCTTGTTTTGGCCTAGGCCAACCCAGGCTCTTATAAGCATTTAGGGAATAAAGCAGTGGATAGGAGACCTCTCTCTGTCCATCTTCTGTCTCTCTCTCTATGTTTCTCTGCCTTTCAAATAAATAAAAATAATTAAGTAGCATTTAAAAAATTAACTTTCTCTTTCACATAACCATGGTTCAACAGATTGAATATTTGCTAATATTGACTCGTTAAAGCCATGGGATATTGCAAGGGCTGAGGTTCATGGGTTTTATAGCACTGAAACAGTTATGGATACTGCTAATTGTTCATGCATTACTGTATACTTAGCTGAAGGTTTTATAATTACCTAAGTAGCAATCAGTGAACAATGACCTGGGGCCAATGCAGAGCATCCATTTACACAGGATGGGAAATAAAAATCTATAGCAAGACATCACAATTCAGCCAATCACCCATCTCCCTACTCCACCACCCATCTACCCATCCTAACATTTATCTGGGGACTTGTACAGAAAGTTGAGGATGAACAGTGCCCACTGCTGAAGAGTTCACTATCTAACCATCTAGTACAATGATTCTCAATAAAGGCAGAGGGTCAGATTTATCTAACTGGAAAAGGTCTCAAAGTAATCCTGTTGGACAGCCTCCTGTTGTCCTGTTTGAAAAGAGCGAGTCTAACGGGCTGCCTGAAAGCTTGAGAGACTTTTCTTTTAGAATGCCTCAGATGGACACCTCAGGGAGAAAAACAAACCATTAGTTATAGAGCCTGCAAAAAATCATTCTGATAGAATCTTATGTGAATTAAAATTATTCCAAGGCATATACATAAGGTGTTTCTTCCTGACTTTAGGGTCTGGGAAAAAAAATACAGGGATAGGGAGTAACATCACTTTAAACTGGGATCTCTCTGAACTATTTATTTGTTTCTGCTGGAGTCCTAGCCCTTGTATCTGTCTTATCTACCAGCACGACTTCAACCTGCAGTCTTAGGTCAAGGTGCTTATCCTAAATTGGATAGAGAGAACTTTAAATCCTTCCGGTCAATAACCCAGGGTGGAACTGCTTCCTTTTTGCCACTCTGGCCTTTACTGTGTGTCCTCATTCTAGAAACTGAGGATCTGCGGGTTCTGGGAGGTAGTCATGGGTCGTTCAGATTGCACCACAGTGGGAATCCCTGCCACAGCAGAAGCACAGGATGTTCCAAATGTGGAGCCATCTCCTGGATCAGGCCCTCCCCAACCTTATAACGTCTGTAGCCCCCTCATCTGCTGCTACTGCTGTTGCTTCTACTTCTTCAATCTAGTGAGACAGTTATCGTCCCTGAACATGAAGTCCAGGATGTTTGGTGCTAAATAATAAAGGACCCTTGCTCTGGCCTAACTGTAACAGGTCTGGATTAGAAGGAAGATAGAGCCCAAGAAGGACAGAAAGGTCACATGGTCATTTCATTTGGTATCTGCTGTGTGACTATGAATCTACTCAAAGTCCAACAGAGTACTACACTGCCTTTTATCTTGGCTTGCTCAAGCTTTGGCAAATATTAATTAATTTGCCCTCATCACATCCTGAAAGGAAGAGCCTGTTTGAATTAGTATGCTTGGGATTATGCATCAGGATTGACTTGGATACATAATGTTTAAACTCCATGATAAAGAAGCAAATCTGGAAGACACTCTCACCTTCTCCTTCTCTAATAACTTATTTGACCAGCAACTTTTGCCTTTTGTCAGAATGACAAATTCACAAATTATCAAACAGATTTCCATTTGTAAATTCAGAATTAATTTTAATCTATGAAATCAACAACTTGGCTGTACACTGCTAATGCTTTGCAAAAACATGAGCATCTTGACAGTATGAAGTCTCTGTACTTCAGTTTTTCAATTATAAGCCTTCTCTTGATAAATTCAGAGACAGCACTGACAATGATTAATTTACCCCTCCCCCAAGCACAAAATGATAGAGTATTTGCTAAATGAAATGACACAAAGCAGTTCACAAAGCTCCAAGCATGAGGGTAAAAACTCCAGGAATCCCGGATTCACACTGTGCTTCCGTCATCTTATTAAGGCTCACTGACTAAGGCTTTGCAGAATGATTTTCAAATCCACAGACATTTATCCACAACATCACTTCAGGCAGATCTTGCCACATTTGCATCCTAGGCATTCTACAACAACATTCTAGCTCTGCAGGTTTGAGTAAAAGACCACCATGGCTTAATTCTACATGGCCAATAATTAGCAGATATAAGTTGGTCTCTTCTGCTGCCTGTTTAGAGAAAATTCACTTGATTTTGAAAATGTTGTGATCCAATTCATTATGAGAATAAACCATTATCCACTTACTGGGTACCAAGCCTCCGGTAGTTGCTTATTGAAAATGCATCAATAGTGAGGGCATTCAAAATGATTGCTGGGTACAAGACATATTTTTCAAAACACTGAAGCCAAACATAGAGTCTTTCAAACCACATTAAATGGGCGACATCTGAAAGAAACACAAAAATCACTTAGAACAGTCAGAGGTCAAAGTAATTTGCTTTAAATACAGGTAATAATAGATAATATCCCTATCCTCTTCAATTTGAAAGCTGCTGATTAAGAACTTTAGATACCTAGACATGACATACCAATCTTCTTTCTAGGCAGCAACTCTTAATGTTGCTTCTACACAGTTCACAAACAATAATATATCATATAGATTGGCATCCCAATTTTTCAACTCAATTGATGGGTTTATACATAGTTTATGAAGACCAATGAAATGAGCTATCACCTTGGAGTAAGGGAAAGTGGCAAGTGAGTGAGGAAGACAGAAAAGGTTCCATGGAGTCACCTTCTTTTAATCTTGGGGTCACTTCTGAGTCTGGGGCTGGTTTCTGGGCTTTCCATTCTCTCATTTTAATCGTTACATTCCTGGGCAGTTTATACAACCAAGAGAAAGCTGATCCCCAACGGCCTAGCATTATGTATCTATTGCACTTTTCTGAGCACTCAAGACAATGGGAGTAGCATGGAGAGTGAGTCCAATTTCATTAAGAGCTAATGTTTCAAGGCAGAGAAACTTGGGTACTGCATGTCTTTTTGCAAATATATGAGTACATTTCTGTATATGTCTACGTATGCTAGATTATTAAGTATTCATACAGTGAGCTTTAGCATACATTGACAAACAATTTTCCAAAGTCATTATTGCCAATTTACACGCCTACAAACAAGATGAAAATTCCTTTTGTTTGCTACATTTTCTTGCCAAAATGTTTCCCTCTCCTCTACCTTATAGCTATGCTGGTGGGTGTAGAATGGTATCACATTAGGGTTTTATTTTACATTTTCCTGATGACTAACATAGTTGAGTACCTTTTCATATGTTCACTGGCAATTTGGATATACACTTTTGTGAAGTGGTTCCCCATGTGTATTGCCTGTTTCTTTTTCCTATTGGATTATCTTTCTTTCCCTTACCACTTTTTAGGAGTTCTCCATACATTCTAGTTATAAATCAGTTTATATATTGAGAATATCTCTTCCCATTTTATGGTTTGCTTTTTACTTTTTTAGTAGTGTTTTCTGGAGAAAAGAAATACGTAACTTTAACATGTTCTAATTTCTTTTTACTTTTCTTTTTAGGACCATTAGTGCATTTAAAAGAGAAAGATCATGAACATGTTTTCCTCTGAGACCTCTTGTTTTACCTTTCACATTTTGTGCTAGAAGCTATCTAGAACTGGTTATTATGTATATTTTAACACAAGGCCACGACTTTTTTTTTGACATGTTGATATCTGATTAACATCATCTCTCAATGTACTGTTTATTGAAAACAACTTCTGCAAGTATCTCTCTTTGCACTGCGGCAAACTAAGGTGATGTATTCAGCTCTGAATTTGCTGGCTACTTTCCTGGAATGCCCTACAGTCTTTCTTGCTTAAGAAACTCTTAACATTTTTACAGGAACTGGCACCTTTCCTTCTGGTGATCTGAGGCCCCCACGATCCCCTGTTCCCAATACAGTTACCACCAGTGGCTGCCAGGCGCAGGGCATCTGAAGCACTATCCTGGTGGAGGAGGGTTACTGACACGTTTAGAACTGCAGGCACATGGTGAGAGTACAAAGGAGTCATGTTTACTGGCTGTATTATTGCTTTTAAGTCCCTCATAAGCAATGTACCCCCTTCCTGCCTGCTACTGGGTACACCTCCATCATTCCCCCAACCTGGGTGTCCTGGACTGCCATGTGTCCAGTGACTATCAGGTATCTACCAAACACTAAGCTAGGGGTTCTGCATCTATTACTCCTAGTTCCAAAGCAAAGTATGATATTCTTTCATACCATTATTGCACACTGTAAATTCTATAACTGTAGTATCTGTGACAGTTCAGAGTAACTATTCATTTAAATAGTAACTTTTCCATTAGATTTTGAGTTTGCCAAGGATAGGTACTTTATCTTATTTAGTTTGGTGCTTCAAGTATCTAGCAGAATATCTGGCATTGAGTTGCTGTTTAGTAAATGTTTTCTTATTCTCTTATTATCTATAGTAGTTAAGGAAATTCTGAACTATAAAATTCAAAAAGAAGAATTAAAAAAAAGCAACCTTTTATTGTGCTACAGCAGCACTTTGTTATGTGACATACAGGTTTCATAAGCAGCCCCTGAATCCAGCTAGTCAGTCTGAACAGGCAGGGGTACTGATTACAAAATTTCAGTACCTGCTTTCACTGGATTATTAAAAAGAAAAAAAAAAAGCAATCTTTTAGAAAAACAAAAGCTCTCTAACTATGTAATATTAAACAAATTGTCCCATTTTAATCTCTCATAAAGTATGATCCATTACAGTTCGGTTTCCTTCTATATAATTTTTGTTCTGATTTCTCAATTTATAAGAGATTGAAAGTGTCAGATTGAGGCTATCACATCAAATGCAATTCAGCCTGCTTATAAAAATGCATTTATGGAGTTCTATCAGCATTTGTCACCAGTTCATAGAAACATGACAACCTTAGAAGATTCCTGCAAGAAAAAAAAAAGTAAATGAAGGGAAATATAAACAAATCTCATCCATAGTATTGTTAGGAAACATCTGAATTTTTACGTGGTTCATCCCTATAGAATAATCCAGATACCATTTAGCTGGGGGAATGTGAGCCAAATATTCCAAAGCTTGTCACATTTACTTTTAGATAATAATGTTTTCCAATAAGTGGAGATAAGAATGATGTGGGGGAGGGGAGACATAACCCTATTGCTGTCTATAAGGATTTACTAGGGATCATAATAACAAAAACAGATTTTTGCAACAATTTTGGTTTATCCATTTCAGAAACACAGATAGCAATGAATTTCAAATGAAATAGAGATCACAAATAAGCTCTGAATTCACCATTCATACATTTCTAAATATTCGAGAGTGAAATGACTTAGGCTTCAGCTGTGTGAGACTACGTTGGGGCGAGGTATGTTTGTGTGTGAGACTACATCACAAGCACAACTTCAAGGCACATGATGAAGACACTTAGACTCTGGAAAGACTTGGATGGTAAGTGGTGTGCAGTTGGCTGGCTCCAAGCCAGTGTGTTTGCAGGGGCTATGTTTAGTACGGCCACAATAACACATCTGAGAATGGCTGCAGCCCCGGATCTGTGAGTCTGTAGTTCGAGACAAAGCAAGATGACAGCTATCAAGGAAATGAACATTGGATTTTTGAAAGGCGGGGGGGGGGGGGGGGGGGACTTCCAGAGAACTAGAAAGAGTTTATTCATCAGTTACAAAAGTCTTTATTATTTTTGCTAATAGAACTTTTAGAGTCAAACAAACAAACAAAAAACAAGACTGAATTTGAAACCACATTGAACTGCATAACTGAGCTCTGCCCATGATCTCAGGTGCTGCAAGAGAAATGAAAGTGACACCTACATGTAAATATAAAAGCTGCCAATGCTTTCCACTGATTGCTTCTGAATCTCTAGATAAGAGGACAGTAAATATGTTTACACTGAGCACACACACCTCAGAAAGCACAGATACACACACCATACTTAACAGGGGAAAAAAGATTTCAGATAAAGGTTTGTCCTAAGGCACAGTTTCTATGGTGGGTATTTAGCATTATATCTCACCAAAAAAGTAGAGGGGGGTGTGAAAAAGGAGCTGAAATGGTTTTTAGGGATGCCAAAGTACAAAGAAAATTCCAGAGATCACCAGATCCAAACCCCTGATCTCAGGTTCTGTTAACCCTGCAATTTGGCAGAAAACCAATTTCCCTTTAATTCTCACCTCCCTTAGAATCTTTCTCCAAGGTCAGTAATGTATCCTCATGGAATGCTTCAACTTCTCAATAAATCATTTAACAGCTACGTGACATTAATGCTAAGTGTTTATAGTTGGAGGTAGAGAGGGTCAAATTGAAAGGAGGAAGCTAAAACAAAATTTAAGCTCAGTTTTCTGAATTCTTAAATACTATACTTATTTCTTTCTTATGGGTCAACCATGAAAAGCTAATAAAAAGGAAAGCTTGCAAGTGCAGTAACACAATAAACATTTTTCATGTAAGTCCCCAGGTTGTCTTAGTATTCATACAAAGTAAAGTTAAAAGAAAATCTTTGCAATGATATTTTATAACTTCCTTTTTGTAATGTCCTGAATATGTAAAAAGATCATAAAAAGACTTCACTTTAGCAGTATTATTTCTCTTTTCTATGGAATATTAGGCCCTTGAGAAAAATAATGCAAACTAATTATGCCATTTACAAGTTTATATATGACTCATTACAACTAAAACCTTTAAATTTTCTTAAAAGCTTTCCAAGTTGTGTTTTATTTAGATGTTTCTGCTCCTAAAATAAGTCCTTCTCAATAATTAAAAGTGATTAAAAAATCCTCAGTATGTTTTTAACTTTGGGACAATGATCTTCTTCAATTTAAGTCCCGAATTGGTATTTAAGCTGCAAGGCTTTATGCTTTAACGGGGTCAGACACATTTCAGTGTAACTGCAGCTCAGATCAACTAGTGTAGATCGCTCTGCAGCACCTGAGGTAGAGACCCTGTGATGTGGAATGAACACACCCAGGTTGCTGGCATCCCCTTATTATAAACAACTCCTTTTTTCCTACAAGTATTTTTCACTCTCATTTTCCTGCTGGACCAAATTTCAGATTGCAAAGCCCTTAGCACTAAGTGTACACGTATCATCATTTTTCCTCTAGAAACAGGCTTCACTTCTAAAACTAGGAACATGAACTGAGGGTAATTATTCACAAATGTGAAGGAAACCACATCACCCTTCCACTCCAAGCCCTGGAACTCCATTTAGGATAAACCCAAGTTTCATGATCTATCCTTCCCCAAATAAGCTAATTCAGGAGCTAACTCATGGATTCCTCCTTTGCCTAGAATCCTCTCTCTCCCAATCTAGATGAAACTGAACTCATACTTTTCCTTAAGATCTCAATTGAAATGTTACTTCCTCAAGGACCCCTTCCTTTGC